GTAAAACTTGAAAGGGTTCAGAAAAGATTTGCAACGCTGTTGCCAGGGTTGGAGCGTTTGAGCTATAGGGAGAGGCTGAATAAGCTGGAGCTATTCACTCTGGAGCATCAGAGGCCGAGGGGTGATCTCATAGAGGTTTGTAAAATCATGAGGGGCATGGATCAGGTGAATAATTAAGGTATTTTCCGAGGGTAGGGAAGTCCAAAACTAGACGGTGTAGATTTAAGGTGAGAGGGGAAAGATGTAAAAGGGACCTAAGGGGGAACGTTTTCATGCAGACAGTGGTGTGTGTACGGAATGAATTGCCAGAGGAAGTGATGGAGGCTGATACAATTACAACATTTAAAAGACATCTGGGAAGGTTTAGAGGGATATGGGCCAAATGCTGACAAAGATTAATTTAGGATATCTGATTGGCATGGGTGAGTTAGACTGAAGGATGTGTTTCTGTGCTGTATATCTCTATGACTCTATTATCCACAGCTAAATGTCACTATTTCTGTGTGTTTGTTATTGTAAATTTTAACGTGAGTTCTTTATTGCTAGATAGAGAAGTCATATAATTAGAATACATTGTTCATATTATTAAACTATTAACATTTATTCCAATGTACAAATTATCTGCTTCATAATATCACCATGTCATGATTGCTTATTTATATTTTTCCCAAAAAATCTTTGAATTACATGGTAATTTATTAATTTGCATGCAACTTATAGTTGGTTTTCCAGCTACTATAGTGATGTACATAATAGTCTCTGGCTTCATTTTTGTTCAATAGAAAACAAGTGGTATTGGTTCAAGTAAACAATGGGGAATGTCTGAATAGATTCCCGGAATTGAAAAAGTTGTAAAAATGGTCTGAGGACAGCAAAACAGTAATGGATATTTTATTAAGTGAGAAAAGAGAAATATTAATCGACTATAGAAGATGAGTCAAGCCCCTTTTGTATTTCTTCTACTTGTTTTTCTGTCCAAATGCATAGAGCTGGATATTGTTATTGTAGCAGTGACGCAGCCAATAGGCTGCAAACCCAGGACAACCCCACCTTAGTCTATTGGGGAAGTCCTTTCCAGATTCGGTGGCAGTCAGGTTGCTATCAGGGGTCCGGTACCTTTAAAAGCAAGGTCACCTCAAAATATTGGTGGCCAGTCAGTCAATAGGAAGCTCTTCAATACCAGTGGCACTGCTGGCAGCAATAGGCATTGCCGAGACCCCACCCAACCAGGACAAACAGCTTGGATGTTGCCTTGGATCAAGCTAAGTCAGGTTGAGGTTACTGAGGCCATTCAAGCAGTCCTCAGCTAGGGAAGAGTCATTGGTAAGAGCAGAGAGAGTGTTGATACAGGTTGGCTATTGTTGCAGGGGACCCTTTTGTGGGCCACAAGCCTATCCAATTAGAGGACCCTCTGAAACTGCTAGAGGGCCATCAGGGTTTTGCAGGCTGTTTCTACAAGTGGCAGAGAGTCAATCTACCACTGGTAAAAGGCCATTTTCTACCTTACCCTCTGCAGGCAGAATGCCACACCTGAGATAAGGCAATAGGCATGCCACTCCACCGCTGTCCCTCTGTTTATTTTTCACCCTCCTCACATGCCTCCCCGTTTGAACCAGCAGGGCCCATTAAATTAAGTCCATTATTTACACGTTTTGTAGAAAGTCAGATATCTGAATACATTTTCTGTGCTTCACTGTGCCATTGATGGCCATTTCACCTCGAGGTTATGGACCTCTCTCCTAAATCTCTTAACCTTTCAACTTCCATAACTAACCACCCAATCAAGTGTCGAGTCATTTGCCCTTTTGCTCCAATGCTGATTTTTCCATGTTAGTAGTGTTCTTTGAAAGCATAACATCTTTACTGCCATGCTGCTGATGCTGGAAATCTCTTAGTGTTGTGATGCAGCTCATTACCAATATCTCAACAGCAGTTAGGGATGTGCAATAAATGCTGTTCTAGCCAGTGATGCCCACATCCCATGAATGAATGCTAAAGATCTGTATCTAGTCCGATGGGCTATCTTCTGGTCCTATTGAAACTAACTGCTCAGTGTGATCTCAAGTTCCTCAGGAATACTGACAACCGGATAGTCTATAGGCCGACAAATAACTACATCACAGTGGGGCGGCTAACAAGCAAAGTAATAACCAATGCATGTAGAAATGGTACAGCAAGTATCATGGGGGATTTTAATCTACATATTGATTGATCAACAAAGTCGGTCAAGGCAGCCTTGAGGAGGAGTTCATAGAAGTATGAACTCCACGATAGTTTCCTCGAACAGTATGCAATGGAACCCACGAGGGAGCAAGCTATCCTAGATCTGGTCCTGTGTAATGAGACAGGCATAATTGATGATCTCATGGTTAGGGATCCTGTTAGAGGGAGTGATCACAGTATGGTTGAATTTAAAATACCGATGGAGGGTGAGAAGGTAAAATCCATTACCAGTGTCTCATGCTTAAACAAAGGAGACTACAATGGGATGAGTTGACTAAGGTCGACTGGGAGCAAATATCATATGGTGGGATAATTGGGGAACAGTGGAGGAATTTCAAAGTGATTTTTCACAGTGCTCAGCAAAAGTATCTATCAATGAAAAGGAAGGGCTATAGGAAAAGACATAATCAGCCATGGATAACTAAGGAAATAAAGGAGGGTATCAAATTGAAAGCAAATGCATACAAAGTGGCTAAGATTAGTGGGAAATGAGGGGATTGGGAAATCTTTAAAGGACGACAAAAAGCCTGGAATAAAGCTATAAAAAAAAGTAAGAAGAATTATGAGAGTAAACTAGCTCAGAATATAAAATGGATAGCAAAACATTTCTACAAATAGATGAAATGAAAAAGAATGGCTAAGGCAAACATTGGTCCTTTAGGGGATGAAAAGGGGTATTTAATAATGGGAAATGAGGAAATAGCTGAGACATTGAACAGGTATTTTGTGTCGGTGTTCACCGTGGAAGACACAAATAATGTGCCAATAATTGATGACAAGGAACCTCCTGGCCCTGATGGAATGCATCCAAGGGTATAAAAGAGATGGTGGGTGAATAGCAAATGCACTCGTGGTAATTTATCAAAATTCACTGGATTCTGAGGTGGTTCTGGCAGATTGGAAAACAGCAAATGCCACCCCACTGTTTTAATAAAGAGGTAGACAAAAGGTGGGTAACTATAGGCCCGTTAGCTTAAGTTCTGTAGGGGGGGAAATGCATGGATCTATCATCAAGGAAGAAATAGTGAGACATTCTGGATGGAATTTGTCCCATTGGGCAGCCCAGCATGTGTTAATGAAAGGCAGGTCATGTTTAATTAGTTTCCTGGAATTCTTTGAGGACATTAAGAGTGCTGTGGACAACAGGGAACTGGTGGATGTGGTGTATCTGGATTTCCGGAAGGCATTCGGTAAGGTGCCACACAGAAGGCAGTTCCATAAGATAAATGTGTATGGCGTTATGGATAATGTATTAGCATAGATAGAAGATTGGTTAACTAACAGAAAGCAAAAAGTGAGGATAAATGGGTGTTTTTCTGATTGGTGATTAGTGGTTAGTAGTGTGCCTCAGGGATCATTGTTGGCACTGCAATTGTTTTCAATTTACATAGATGATTTTGGAGTTGGCGACCAAGTATAGCGTGTCAAAGTTTGCAGATGACACTAAGATAAGTGGTAGAGCAAAGTGTGCAGAGGACACTCTGAATGTCTGCAGAGGGATATAGATAGGTTAAGTGAGTGGGCAAGGATATGGCAGATGGAGTACAATTTTGGCAAATATGAGGTCATCACTTTGATAGGAATAACATCAAAATAGATTATTATTTGAATGGTTAAAAATTGCAGCATGCTGTGGAACAGAGGGACCTGGGTGTCCTTGTACATGAATCACAATAAGTTGGTTTGCAGGTGCAGCAGGTAATTAAGAAGGCAAATTGAATAATGTCCTTCATTTCTAAAGGGATGCGGTTCAAAGACAGGAAAGTTATGTTGCATCTGTATAATGTGCTGGTGAGGCCACATCTGGAATACTGTGTACAGTTTTGGTCTCCTTACTCGAGAAAGGATGTGCTGGAGGGGGTGCAGAGGAAGTTCACTAGGTTGATTCCAGAATTGATAGAGTTGGCTTATGAGGAGAGAGTGAGTAGACTGGGACAGTACTGATTGGAATTTCGAAGAATGAGGCAGGATTTTTGGAAACATATAAAATTATGAAGGGAATAGATAAGGTGGAAGCAGGGAGGTTGTTTCCACTGGCGGGTGAAACTAGAACTAGGGGCATAGCCTCAAAATAAGGGAAGCAGATTTAGGAGTAAGTTGAGGAAAAACTTCTTCATCCAAAGTGTTATGAATCTGTGGAATTCCCTGCCAGTGAAACAATTGAGGCTACCTCGTTGAATGTTTTCAAGGCAAGGATAGCTGGATTTTTGAACATTAAAGGAATTAAGGGTTATGGTGAACAACAGATAAGTGGAACTGAATCCATAAAAAAAATTCAGCCATGATCTTATTGAATGGTGGAGCAGGCTGGATGGGCCAGATGGACTACTCCTGCCCCAATTTCTTATGTTCTTATGACAAAGGTGCAGCTGTTCTTTCTTTGCTAATGTGTTAATAGTAAACAAGAGGACTCCCTTTTTATGCATATGCCAATTTTAAACCATTCATTCATCAGATCTTGGATTACCACCAGAGATAAAGGCCCACTGTATTTTCTTTAGATGTTATTGCAAAACATATCAACTTTATACCATATGTATAGTATTTTAGTTGAGGTACGAATAGCTGCTGCCAAAACACATGGAAGATATGTTTGTAATTATTTGTATATCTTGAGTATGTTGCAGATCTTGAGAAGAATGTGAACTTTAGAATACATGTACCAGACATTGGTTGACCTCAATTTCTCAATGCTGTGACTGATATAAATGCAAAATATTTCTGTTTTCATTTTAAACTGATTTCTCAAATGAGTTTCTTTTGTTTTTGATATTTAGGTTAATGGAACAGAAATAGAATATGAATTTGAAGAAATCACATTGGAACGGGTAAGTTAAAAAAAGGTTACACTTATACTTGTCTATTCTCTGTAATTTGTATCCTCTGGATTTTTTTGGAACATGTTGACATCCAATTTGGGCTTTGCTGGCTAGGCACTTCTGCAACTCAGTTAATTAATTATGTATTTATATAGATGTAATTAATCCTTTTACAAACCCTCTATGAAAATGAAAACAAAAAAATGCCGGAGATCATAGCTGGTCAGACAACATCCATGGAGAGAAAGCAAGTTAATGTTTTGAGTCTTCATCAGAGCTGAAGTGAACTTTGTTTTCAGTTCAGATTCCAGCATCTGCAGTAATTTGCTCCTCCTTTACAATGATGACCTTAGTTAATTGTGCCAGGGCAGGATTTGAAGAATGCATGAAGCTCTACAATAATTTAAGTTCATGCAATTCTTTTGATAATTAATGTTGTAATATGGTTGTTTATTTGTGCTTACCACAGATCACCAAATGTTCAACAGCTATTGAATAATAACACTTGTGAATAAATTATGAATTTATTATTAAGCATCAACAAATTGAAGTAGAAAAAATAAATTTCAACTTCACTGGATCGTGGTTATACTATACCAAATACATGAAAAACTGAACAGCAAGTACATTTGTGGAGTTGTGTCAAATCAAAAGTGATTATTCATTAATCACATAGAAAGGAATTACTGCTGATTTGAGTGATGGGTGGTGAACCAGTGCAGGTAAAAGGTATTAACATTGTGAACTTTTTAAACAATAGCTATCAAAACATAATAAGATTTAAGACAAAGATTGAGAAAGACATAAAGACCGAAAATAAAATTAAAAGGTGATAATTTTAAAGGGACTGGGGAAGGAAAATTGGAAGAAAAAGAGTTATATAGTGATCAAATGGTCATGGGAAATAATTTTTAAAACTGGTATTAGATTTCAGAAAAAAAAGACTAGCCGATAATGAAATACCACAGGAGAATAAAGAAATAATGGTAAAATTGAAACTAAAGAAAAAGCGCATGGGCAATAAAGGAGAGTGACAAAAAAGGAATGTGAATGAGATTAACAAAGAAGTGAAGAAAGTATTATGGGTAAATCATCATGAGTTACCTTTAATTCGGCTACTTATTAAGAAATATCACAATCAAGTACTGAAACAATGATTTGAACTTTATTACATGCAACAACCAAAATAGGACCCCTCAAGCAAGCAAGTTAAGCCTCACAACTCAACTTGGCTATTACCCAATTAATGATAGAATCTGACTAGGATTCCACCAGTGGTTTCTCTGGAAGTGTCCAGAGTTTGATCCTTATGCAGTGTTGTTCTTCGATGTTCTGTTATTGAGTTGTTCTGGAGTTGGATTCTTATACAATTTTCTGTATTTCAAGTTTGTGGTGTGACATTATTGATGATTCAATAGATTCTTTCATCCCAACATTGATTATACTTTTGGAGACCTCAAATCTGTAGCTTGCCTTCTTATCAGCAGTAACCACCCTGTTCCTTGTTCCATTCGGGGTTAGTTATTTGTTTAAACCATAACTTTTCCTGCAATTCACCCTTTACTTCAGAATATTTCTTCTCCACGCAATCTTATTTGCTCATTTGTCACCAGGCAGCAGGTTATCAAGCAGTTATTATCTCCTGCCTCCCAGAAACAGATTGTGTATGTTGCTTCTTCCCAAACGTGGTTTATTCACTTATTGCTTTTATAACAGATTTCTCCTTGCCCCTTTCATCTTGAGAAACAGTTTATTTCAGAAAGAACTATTGCTGATTCTTTCAATCCATGAACAGTTATTAAAGTTGCAAAGTTTATAGTATCATAAAAGGTAGGGAAGAAAACGAGATCAATGAAACTAAATTATCACGGGTGATTGATCAGAGCCTTGAATTATGTAACAGACAAAATACATGTTATTGTTTTAAACAAAATCTGCAAGCCAAGCCTGGCTCATAACATAACTTGGAGGAATGCAAGGCTCCAACTACCAAATGATTGTCTGTGTGAATCCCTGAAATATCACTCAGTGTAGGGTACCAAAGAAAATTCAATGAGTGGGACTTCCAAAAGACAAAGTACAAAGCAATTTAATTACCTCCTCTAAGTAGGAAAAGATCTCCTACGTGTTATATTTCAGTGGGCTTGAGTCAAAAGGCATTTTTATGTTTACAAAAAACAGGGTTTAAAATCCAGCTGAAATCCTTAGACTGTGTGTGTTAGTTGTCTCGTGTGCTGTAAAGTTCACAGCCTACAAAGAGCCATCAGACACTCCAGCACTGCAGGTAAAAATGAAAAGATTTAATATTGCTCTGAGTGCTGTTTGGCCGTCACTGTTGAAAGGATACATAACAAAGAATTTCAGCTAATCTTGGAATCGACTGCTCATGTTACCAATACTGAAGCTGCCAGTAGTTCTGAATATTAAGGCCACAATATCCAATCCTCTACTCTTCACAGAACTCAGAAAATGATCTTTTTAAGTGTGTGGACCTGCCTCTCATTTCTAATATGTGGTTTAGTGTGTGTGTTATTAGTTTTTATTATGTTTCGGAGTTCCTCTTGCATGAATTAAGGAAGGCCTGGTTATATTTTAAAACATTAATTCATTTAGTCTAGGAGCACGGCATCCACAAGGGACGGGATTCTTTCCAAATTATTCTTGTTGTAACCAACTGTGGGATCAAGTAAATAAAGGAGGGAAGCTACTTCATCCTACCTCACCTGGGAGCCTGAAAATTTAGGCTATTCTATATAAAGCCATAATAAATTGGAGAACCTCACCCGGAGACTTGTTTAATAGAATGTAAACTGAATTAATCATTTACTAGCAGAGATCTACAAAATGTTTGTGATGAAATGATGACCTTTACTACAGTATTACTTTTTAAAAAAAGTTCTCAATTCCATAGCATTTCATTATCCTCATGTCATTCCCATCCCATTCCTTTTACCCTTCTCATTAGAATCCTCATCCCACCTCTTCTTTCTATGTCATTCCCGTTCCCCATTACACCCCTCCAATGCATTCCAACCCACTTCCCAGTCTCGGTTCTATACCTCCATGAGCTCCTCCATGTCATTTCTCTCTACTACCCCACCAACGAGCTCCAATGTTGTTGGTAATGACACTGAACATCAAAGAGAAGTGGTTAATAATTTTCCCGTGTTGGAGATAACCATTGCTTGGCAATTGTATAGCATGAATGTTGCTTGTCACTTATCAGTCATCAGCTGAGTGTTGTCGAGGATTTGGTGCCCTTGAGCATAGTCTGTTTCATTATCTGAGGGAGTGGACCTGAATAACTTGTAATCATCTGTAAACAATCCCATTTCTGACTTACGTTCACTGAAAGATCACTGATGAAGCCAATGATTATGATTGGGGCCAGAACACTACCCTGAGGAACACCTATAGCAATAACAGAGAGCTTGTATGAGAGCAGTTTCAGGGATTCATGGTTAAAGACAGTGGCATGGAGTCAGTGGGACACAGAGTTAGCTTGAGAGAGAACAAATTCAGGAATCCAAAATTAAATACAGCTGTGGAATGTCAGCGGAAGATAGGGTTAGCCTGAAAGAAAACAATGTCGAAGTCCCAAAGCTAAAAGCAGCCATGAGAGTCAGTGAGAGACAGATTAAGCTATGGACAAAAATGCAATGTCAGAGTAAAGTGGGGAAGCATTGGTTAGTCAGTAACTTTTTCTCCTTTTCTAAATTAGCTCACTGAATTAAAATGGGAGCTGGAAAATTGGAAAAACAAAGACAATCAGACATTTAAAACAGGTGGGTATTAAGGACAGAGAACAGAGATTTATATAAAATCGCACCTGAACTGGAAGAATTGTGTGGGATTGAGCTGTTTCTGAAGTGAAGTGATATCATAGGACAAGGACTGATGTGGCGTGAGCTTTTTTTTTATTAGATTTTAAAGTTAATAACAAAGGAATAGTAAAATTAACTAGATTTGAAGTTTTCATTAAAATTGAATATATTTGGATATTTACAGTTAAGTCAAACATTTCAGTTAAGCTGTCTATAAATAATGTAAACTCAACAAAAGAGCAGCAGCTGATTGCTGAGTAGCTGATGGATCTCTTTTTGAGTAATAATTTTCATTTTCTAATAATAGATGCAGGGCAGCATGGATCTTTGGACTGCGAATCCTCAAACATGGAAATCATAGAATCATAAAGAAGAGGCCCTTTAGCCCATCAAGTCTATACCACTAAAGCTACACTAAATGTACACCAGTCCTACCTTCCAACACTAAGCCCATGACATTTCAAGTGCTCGTCCAAGTACTTTTTAAAGGTTATGTGTTTACCAGCCTCAATATGCTCCCAGGCATTCATTCCAGATCCCCACCACCCTCTGGGTGAAAAAACTTTTCCACAAAACCCCTCTACGCTTCCTTTCTTTCACCTTAAAATTATGCCCCATGTTATTTACCTTTCAACTAAGGGAAACAGCTACTTTCTAAACGCCCTGTCCGTGCCTCGCTTAATCTTATACACTTTTCTCAGGCTCCCCTCAACCTTCTCTGCTCGAAAGAAAATAATTCCAAGATGCTTCTGATTGACCTGGATAGTCACGTGCAGGAAGTGTAATCAGCTGCAGCAGCTTAAGTCTTGGATTTTGGAACATGAGCAGCAGCTGCCAACACTGTAAGACATCCACAAAATATCAGATAACATTTTATAGATGTGTTTTTGTTTTATTTCTTTCATGGTGCATGGGCATTGCTGGCGCAACCATCAACTGTTGAACTCAGTGGCTTGCTATGCTATTTCAGAGGGCAGTTAAGGATACTGTGCAGCTTAAAAATATGTAGGAAGAAGAGCGGAGATGTACCAGAGGACCAATCAAGTTGTGTTGAAATCCTCCATTTGCATTTCACTTCCAACCAGCATTTATTTCTGAATACAGCTGACTTGGATAATTTATCTTGAGTGCTGCCAGAGCCAAGACAATGGCATCATAAGTGACTCAACTTACACAGGCACATGA